GCTGCGCCTCAACGCATTTTGGGGAGAACCATCTAGCTCTGTGTTCGAGTGGAATTTCACCCTTTACCACAACTCATCCGCTGATTTTTCAACATCAGTCGGCTCGGACCTCCATTTAGTTTCACCCAAACTTCATCCTGGTCGTGGATAGATCACCCAGGTTTGGGTCCATAAGCTGTGAAAATAGATCTACGAAGACTCGCTTTCACTACGACTCAGGTGGGTTCCCTTAATTAAGACACTGCCTATGAGTCGCATGCTCATTCTTCACAGGCACGTGGTAAGAGCCGTAGCTCCTCCCACTGCTTAGGAGATTACGGTTTCATGTTCTATTTCACTTCCCAATGGGGGTTCTTTTCACCATTCTCTTACAGTACTACTTTGCTATCGGTCACCCAGGAGTATTTAGCCTAGTAAGGTGGTCCTTGCTGATCCACACGGGATTTCATGTGCCCCATGCTGCTCGGGTCAGAGTGTAAGCTAGTGCCCCATGCTACTGGACTTTCGCCATCTAAGGTGCAGCATTCAGGCTGCTTCGCCTAGCATCATGATGCTTGTATTTGTCTCCCATAACCCCATTTTCACGGTTTAGACTACTCCCATTTTGCTCACCGCTACTACGGGAATTGCTTTTGCTTTGTTTTCCTCTGGCTAGTAAGATGTTTCAGTTCGCCAGGTTATCTCTTGTCTGCCCATGGATTCAGCAGAAGTTCAAAAGGTTGCCTATTCGAGAATCTACGGATCTATGCTTATTTTCAACTCCTCAAAGCATTTCATCGATTACTACGCCCTTCCTCGTCTCTAGGACCTAGGTATCCACCGTAAGCCTTCCCTTATTTGAACCTCGCCTTTCACTTTTAAAGCTATGTCATCCTAAGATGCTGCTAAATTGATGGATCTTATCAACGTACATGAATGATAAATCATAGTTCAAACCGCCAAATCGAAAAAATTAGGTTCTATCATGAAGTTTTGTATCGGCTTAGTTCACGAGTTGGAGATAAGCGGACTCGAACCGCTGACATCCACTGCAGGGTAAACCACCGCCTCTCAGGTCCCCCAACTGATTCTACCATAGAGGCCAATAATAGACAATAACTCCCCCCGAACACAACTTACAACTTTCATCCTACTGTACTCTCCAAAGAGAAACTCTTGCAAAATCTCACTCAAAAGGTGCTGAGTTAGAATACCATTCTAACTAAGGATTCTAGTGGTTCTCGAGGATCCAACTACAGGAGAACCAGGAACGTAGGACTTACCCCCCCCCTTCTGCCCGACT